ATCAAACTAAAACTACCATTTTCTGTTTATTTAATACCGAAAACACCCTACTATACAGTTTTCCGACAACACTCCATAGAGAAATTCCACGGTAGTTATTGCAGTCCCTATTACTACCCATCTTATGAAATGGCGAGATAACTGCACATAGAACTAAAGAATTCCAGGTAAATCGTTGTTTTTTGAAATCAATAATATTGGTTCAGTATGAAAAATTTGCATCATGAGCACGGATGCATGCTCGTTATTACGAAGGGATGTCCGTTATTGGGTGGTAACCAGTTTAAATCAATTCTACTCTAGACCAGCCTCTTTATCCATGATTTCGCAAACGTCTTGGTTGGAGAATATTCCAATGTGTTAAAAGAATGCGAAATGAATTGAGCGCATGTAGAAGGTCTTTAAGTAGCTACTACTTAGCACTCGTTATGCGACATCAGCAGGTGTATGACCAATGGCGCTGAATCAATCAAATCAGTCATACAAATGGTACGATTGCTCAGATTGCATTCAAACTAAGGCGACCTAATTTCCATGCACATATCTAATATGTGACACCATACTAGAGTTTGTGTTTCATTCCTAGCATGTGTGTCATTCCAATGACTATGTCCATGGATTGGCCAATCACACCGTTTTGTTGCGGTCATTAGTCCTTTGTAATGACTCACTACGGTATTGAATGTGAAACCTACTTCATGCAATGACAACTGAAAACTTTTTTAAGTGGCACTTGACATTGTGAATTTTCTATTTTGCAGTAGTAAATCGCAAATACGAATCACTTCAATTGAATGTCTTCTTTTTACTAAAAAGTCTAAAAAGGTGAATAATGCCCACTTGTCTTTGTAATAACGAGTAACAGTGTTTTTGTTTCATGCGAACACACTTTTATAATCTCATAGAAAATTTGTGTCAATACATTCTGCAGCGCCGTCGATTTATGATGACAAAATCCAGTACTAATCGGTGTTATTATGCAGTATTTCGCAATTTGTCGAAATCACTTCCAGCTATTTACAGGCGATTTCGCCGTCACTAATCGACGGCGCTGCAGAGAGTCTATTTTCTTGATTATAATCGTGTGCATGCGAATCGTTCTTTTTATATAATCTTTGATACGAAAAGTACAGAGATAAGGATAAAATGCAACACTGTTAGAAATAATTGTCCCGTAAAATATGAAATTCATGGTTTTCCGTTAAAATGTGCGAATTTAACAGAAGCCGTGTAACCCACATAATGGTAAATTTACATCATTTCGGCCAGATTTTATCGGATATTATTATTCATATTTTACCAGATTTTTCGGGACAACTTCACGATTATTTCTAATAGTGAAGCCTACATATATTGGGATATAAAAGAACTGTGCGTAGCCAACTCAACAGTTAGTTTTGAATTATAATTGTGGTATTTTACTTGCGCATTTCTATTCGTGAGACGTAAAAGACTGTATGTATCTGACTTTTTTCAGGCGTAGATTACGAGTAACTGAAAAAAGATAACGAAAAATTGTCTTCGGCCAAGTTGTAGTATCATTGGTGTTCTACAACATTGCTGAAGACAATTTTTTGTTATCTCATTTCAGTTATTCGTAATCCACGCCGAGAAAAAGGCTAAAAACATACGTTCTTTTACATCTCAAGTAGAACAAACTTCGAGACTGCAATTTGATATATAAATAAAACGAATTACAAACGTAATCCAAACTTTTCCGCTCCGCAGCAATTTAGTTTACCTCCCGCTTAATGTTTAACCAAAATTTCAATAGACCCTTTTTTCGTAGCATTTTTGACCTTAAAATATAACTATTTCGACCATTTTCCATACAAGAGTGTCATTTTCGAACAAAATTTCAAGATATGTTGATTTCGGACCAAATTTATGGGCAAGTAGGTGTTCGGTTGTCCGAAGGCTCCCATTATTCTTGCAAAAAAATATCAGTTTGCTTTGACCAAAACCCTAAAAAATGGCTTTCTGAGTGATTTTTTATACAAAAGTCTATTTTTCGAGGAAACTTTCAAGAAATGTCGATTTTAGACCAAATTTATGGGCAAGTAGGTGTTCGGTTGTTCACAGACTCCCATTATTTTTGCAAAAAAATGGCAGTTTGCCTTGATCAAAACCCTGAAAAATGCTTTTTTCGGGTACTTCCCGTACAAATGTACCATTTTTGAGGGTTTTTCTTAGGAGAGGTACCCCAAGGTCACATCGGATATGGCTCAAAATCAATCCGAAGCTTTGTCTCAACATGCCAAAACTTTTGGCTTTTACAGATTTTGGCTTTTCAATTATCTTTTCAACTTTTTGAGATAATCGACAAACAAAAAACTCGGACGCGAACGCGGACGACGCCATACGCACATCGCTATTTTGCACATATTTCATAGTAAACAACATGTTTTTGGGGGTAGATAGGTGTTGATCGATAGGATTTCATCCCATCTACATTGCCTAGTGTACAGATATATGCTTTTTCAAGTTTGGCGTGACGTTATAGTGGTCAGAAAGAGGAGATGTCATGAAATTTTGGCTAGTAAAACCAATACTTTACCTAACAAACAAAATTTGCGGAAAAGTAAAAGGCTTGCATTGTACGGAGATTCATCAGTGAGTAAAGTGAATTGAATGGAAAAAATGCGGTTCAATACGATTTCAGTGCTGTTGGGTAAAATAAATTACGATACAATCGAACTTTTTTTCAGACACAATTTAATCATTCGGTAATATTGAAGAAATTGAGTCTTCTTTTGACCTACCTAGGTGTGCTCATAGTGACTTCTCTTGCAGCAGCACAAACGGTTTCTTCGTGAGCAAATTGAAAATAGATTTCTAACAAATTTAATTGTGTTTTATCAGCCTGTTGACGGCAGTAGTTACTGCACATTGCCTGATTGCCCAAATCAATCGAGCGTGATGTGTGGTGCCACAAATGTAAGTAGATTATTACTTTTCCATACACATAGTGTCAAGTATAGGAATTTATTCCGGAAACTTTTTTTTCGCAAAATTAGCTTAGATCATCATAAAAACTCATGAGAAAGTTTGAAGCCAATTGTAATCGATTTACGGATACCTCCCATACAAAATTGTCAAAGTTTTGACTAAAGTGACCGATTTTGCACTGAAAAATTGCCATTATTTCATGAAAATGAAAAAAAAGTTTTCGGGACCAATTCTCATACTCTAGGGAGAAATTTATTTATTTATTTATTTTTTTACGGCAAATGTTTGTAACATGAACGCCCTTACAAACTAATGTTGACAATAAATATAAAATTTCTCTATTCTATTATATTTTCTTAAGAATCACGTAATTTTTTTTTTCTTTGGTTTCTTATTAAGTAAGTCATGACTTAGCTGTTTATTAAGGAGAATTTTTTTAAATTTTTCTTAAAAATATTAGTACTTTTGGTAGCTTTTAAAGGCGAAGATAATTTATTGTAAATAGATATTCCAACGAAAAGAAAATAAAGAACGACACAAATTCAAAGATAACATGGAAATATTGCCAATGCCTAACAAAACGTGCAAATGCGTGCAAATACGACCAACGAATGCTAGAAGATGTATGCGTATTTGCCATTCTTATTTGTGCTCAGCGAGCACTGCTCACTACGAACGAGACGAAGCAACATGAAAACAACAACAATAAAATAGAGGAGCGCTATGCAAATGCTTGCAAATGGACGTGAATACGGCAAATACTTCAAGTTGTTCTTTCCCCCTAGCTCATACTTTCCCTTAATACGGTGTGTACGGAAAATTAAAACGAAATTCGGACAACAGTATGGAAAATTTCGGGATTACAAATGTCATTCTTTTTATTTCTTGTAAAGAACATTTAAACCGATATAACCAAATTGTTTGCTGTCAAACTTTGTCTCGCTCACGCCAACTGTCGCACTGACTCGTTCGTGTACGAATTGCTGTTAGCGTAAAAGAGACTTTGTTCGCAGTGGACTCAGTTTAGATGTTCTTTTAAAAGATTTTTCTCTATTTCAAAGTATTTCTTTTCGTTTCATCCTTTCACAATAAGCACAATTTTCATGACGAAATTCAAAGGACTCCCTTGAATCCAAATATTTTTGGACATCTTTCGTGTCGATTTTCTGTGTAATTTTTTATCCTGTTCATAGTTTTTATTGCTTTTTAGACATTTGGATCGAACTGTGTGAATCCAGTAATTGTGCCCACGACGAATGAGAGCAGAGCATTTATGTTGGATCTTATAAATGGGTATCGAAGTGTAGTTGCATTGGGTCAATTGCCTGATGCTATTGCCGGTAGAACAGCTGCACGAATGGCAACAATAGTTAGTACAAATTGTAGAAATTGTTGGAAAAAGTTGAATTCTTTCCAAAATCCATCAAAAACCTCTGGCTTACAATACACTAAAAGAAATTTGGGTGACACAATTGCACATAACGTTTGGAACATACGTTGAAATATTAAGTTTCAATTCAAATAGTTTACAAAACGCAACCGGCATAGAGAAGAAGTTGCTTTTTTTGGCATATTCCAAACGTCGGTATTTGTGCCAACCTAATTTCTGTCAGTGTATGATCATATTTTTTGGCAAGAAAAATCACAACAATAATGGTTTTTATTTTATTTCCAGGTTTGGCATGATGAATTGGAAATGGAGGTACAAGAAAATGCGATAACGTGTACACTTAACCACAATGGATGCCGAAATACAAACCAGTTCATGTTTGCTGGTCAGAATATGGGATTTTCATGTAGTGATCCTGCGTCTTCAACACCAGATACAGATGCTGTACGAGCAATCTTTGCAGATTGGTGGAATGAACATCTAGCTATAACTTCAATCGCTGCTAATAATGATTTCTCAGGCATTCAAGCGAGTGATCCATATGGACATTTTACACAAATGGTCACAGACAATTCCTTTGCCATGGGATGTAGCATGGTTAGAACCAGCTATGGAAATGCCGGCTTTTGCTATTGGCTCGGCATATATGCAAGATTCTCACTCTCCAGATCCCATTCATCGTTAAAAATGCAAAACGAACTAAATTTGATTGACAGTTTTGGGTATTAGAAAAATACCAGCACGACAGAAAAATCTAACCCTCTCCTGTGTTGTTGCATGTTTCAATTTTCAATGTTGCACGCATTTTAAAATGACAAATCAATTTGCACGGTTGTTGTCGTTGTTCGTTCAAGTGAGGGATGTCATTGCGTGCCAGTTTGCTGCTGATTGTGCTGTCACCGAAAATCACAAGTCTCAAATTTCCCGCTTATGCAGCATTGCATGCGTGCAATTTTCGGGCAACATCATTTTCAAGGTTATCAATTTACGGTTTTTAATTTCATACATGTTTACATTGGGTTTGTTTATCGTATCGCGTGTAATTTTGTCAAATCAATGACGGGCTCGAAAACATGAGTGAATATAATTGCGAACGGTGACCGAACGTTGACATAATGACAACAATGAAATCAATTTTAAAATCTATTTCGTTTGAAAAAAAAAGTTAGTGTTGAAATAGAAAGTCTTTGAAATTTTGTGGGAACGGGTGGCAGGATGCGCAGCGAAAATGTCGTTCCGATGAACGGAAGTAACGACGGAAAAACCGTGAATTTTTGGAATTTAAAATTGATTTCAAATGCGAAAGGATTATTTGAATGAGAAAAAGGCTTACTCGAAATTGCGTTTGGAACGAACGATTTGGTCCAGGGAGTATTTCGAGCAATTTTCATGGGAAAATTGTCAGCATTAACAATGCACCGCAAATGAATTCAACAAAGGATTGTCTGACATCTTTATTGAGTGAATTAAGGCGGATGTAAGATAAGTAATTACGAAATTACTTGTCGACTTAAATTGATGACGCGATGTTGAAGATGTGAAGTTGAAGACACGATTTGTTAAGACATACTGAATTCCAACTGTGAATACCCTTGCTGTTACTTCCATGATTGCAATATTTAGTCTCAAATCAACCATTGGCCGTGAATAAAATGGTCGAATTAACAAAAGAAGCGAATTCTATGATTAAACGCTATTTTATATTCAAGAAGCGACATTTCGTTTAGTGTGCATTTTGCAAATTGATGGACATTCAATTTACTCAAATTGCAATTTGTTTCAAGCAATTGCTTAAGAGTTAGCAAATTGAATAACGATGAATTCAAATCGACTTCCCAAACATCACACTTTTGAGTTTAATTTGTGCAATGATTGTAGAACAAGAGAGAAAAAAAACCGAATTTTTCGTTTAATTTTCCAATTCATTTGCTTTTACTTCCTAGAAAAAAGCGGGAACTCATGCCAAATCGAATTGTTGATCGAATGAATACCAAATGAAGTGAAATTACCCTTTTTTTTATCGAAGTCTTCCGAGTCTTGAGAAGATCCGAAGTAATTGATTTCGTATCGAAATACATCCAAATTGAGTTAAATAAGTTACTTAAACTCACAGTCGATAAAAAAAAACATTTCCTTTGGCATTCGTCCTTAGAAAGATCTTCAATCGCCTTGCAGATGCAACAAAAATCATTCAATGATTAAATTCTTTTAGTTCGAGTCGAAGATTGTTCAGCGAAGAAAGTATACTTTGAAAGAAACATGTTTCTAGTAGTTAAATGTTTAGTAATACATTACCTTTAAATAAGTTTACAAAGTAAAATCTTGCTTTGAACGTCTGAAAATTCAAATTATGGTTTTCTCTCAAATGAAACGTAAAAAGATTGTTCATTTTCTGGAATGGGTGGCCAAATGTCGGCCGCATTGAACATGAATAGGCTGGCAAACAGAATGTGCAATTCAATTTTGCGTATTGAAAAAAAATGTTTGGTTGAATTCGAAACAACGAAAGTGATGACTACGTAGCGAACTTACCCAATACGTTGTGTGCGCTTGCAACTAAAAATTCATTGACAAGAGTCTCGATGTCATCGAATAAATGAATAACAAAAGAAAAAGAGCGGCGCGTATAAAAGACAGACACAGATAAAATCCGAAATAATTAGGGAGATTGAATGTTTACATGGTTGGCGATGGTGCGGTGAAATTGGTTTTTCGGCTTTAGAACTCAGTCTCTTGATATTTCAAGTATGCAATTTGCATGGATCGACGGTTACGACATCGTGTCGCGCGTTTTCATTTTATTTACTTTAGCGTTAAAAAGGAAGAAAATCAACCGAAGTAATTCATTCCATTGTGATTGTTCGCCAGAAACGTTTCGACAGAGTCGACACACGCGCAGCGGTTATGAACATTACCATTTGTTATTATGTTGAGCCGAAAAATGAGAGAGAGACACTTTAATTACAAGGTGAATGAAAATATTCCGAATCTCATTCTTTTTTGCGTGGATAAAGAGTGCGCGCAAGAGAGAGAGAGAGAGACCTTTTGGCGCTCATCGCGTGCACACCCTCCGACAATGTAAACAAGCTTTTCAACTTCTTCGCTTGAAACGAACGCGCATTTGTTCGAAATTCATTTTTATGGGTTCTCATTTCAATTTTTTCTCTTTCTTCCGCATCATTCCATGGAACGTACATTTTTTGCATTTTCTTAGACTCTTTGCACTTCTTAAGAGTTGAGAGCGTTTCATTCAGATGCGACCATAAGATTTAATCCCTTATTATGTATGATTCACGTTTGCAGTTTTGTTGTTTACCCAACGAAGCGAAAGATGTTCATCACTTTAATGCAAATGGTTTTGAATCACTTGGCAAAAGCAGCAAATGACAAGGAAACAAGGGCAAGACAAGAAAAAAAACAACACTCTTCAATGCTTCAACATACAACTTGTAAGAAAAATAATTAGAATAATAACACGTTTCGATATCTCTTTTTTTTCCTTGCGCGCACTTTTTTGTACTCAACGAGTTGGCTTCTCGGTCGCGCTTTTGACAACGTTTGGATTTTCTAATTAAAATGACAAAAATATGTGCGGACTGAACCCAATCATTTGAGGGTCGCCAAACAATTCATTTAGAATGGATACAAAAAAACGAACGCCTTTTCCTCGACGAGGGGTTGAAAAATGTTTAAGAGTGAACCTCAGTCACGCGCCTTGCTGTCGTTCATTTCAGTCCACTTTGTTTTGTATGTTTTTCGTAGTGATGATGTTAACGCATCATTGTTTTGGATGTAAGTGATCTTGGTGGAAAGAAGAATATTGTGACATTCAAAACGAGCACTTTTGAGGCATTCAAAACAGTATTTTTTTCCCATTCCTCTCCTGCCATTCTCGGTCTAAAGCATAATTTTCTCTCTATAGCATAATTTACGCTCTTGCCGTTCATAATATGCCAAATGATAATTCTCAATATCTTTTTCCAGATTGAATGGACCTCAATATCTTTACCCAGATGTAAGTGGCGCACAAAAAATCAGCTCATCTCATTGTTGATCTCATTTGCAACCGCTATTCATTTTTCTGGCACGTCGTAAAAATTAATGAATTCTACTGAGTTCCAAACACACTGAATCTAGGCCTATATAGTAGTACTATAGTACGGTTCACCAGTCAGTGAGAGTAGGTTCATAGTATTGGTATGAGGTACTTCATTGCATAATGCCGCAACCATTAGCAAAATCGGCAAAATATGCAAATTTTCGATCAAAAACTACACGGAAACTAACACACGCGCCTACTTCAAGTCTTCAACCAGCACTTTTTTCGGTAATTTTTCACAAAATAGAAATACGGTGTTTTAAATACTGGCGTTGGCTTCTCGTTAATCGAACTAAACACAGAAACTGTGTTTATAATGTTGCGAATCAAAACATTTGGTTTTCAATGGCACAACGACCAAAAGAGCAAGACATGTTACAGTTACTGGTTTTATAATGAAATCGCACCGTGATATGTGAATCGTTGTCACTGACACGCGTACGTTTCAAACCTACTCATCAACAATCAATCAAATTGGGCGCATTTCCAACACAATTCATAATTCTGGCAACTGCACAGTAGACCGAGTCGTGTGAGCATTTAATTTAATTTGAATATTAAATGAGCTGAATATTCCCAAAACTTATGTAATATATGATCCTTCATCGGAGACGCAGGAAGCGCGTGTGTATGTGTATGGGCTCTTTCAAAAAATGTAACGCAAATGTGAGCTGTGCGATGTGCTGGCGTAATAAAGAATTGATTAATGAATTCGCCGTCGTTGTGACTTTTTGATTGATGGCAACCATTGGTCGAATAAGTATCATCAACTCTGAAATTCTTAGTCCGATTTCTTCTCTTTCTTTGGCGCCACTACTTTGGTGGAAAGTATTTTTGGTATAAATTCATTATTTTCGACCTATTGCTGGGTTCAATCACTTTTTTCATTCAACATTTCGGTCATTTAATCGATTAGTCTTCGCTAATTCTTGGATATTGAATTATTTTACTGAATATGAAGCTAGATATGAAGCAAAAAATATCAAAAAGTATGTAATGATTTAACCTGCTTTATGATTTAACCTAAAAATATGCAATTCGCTTCGAATAACCACAAAAAATTCAAATTCCGTGCAAAAAAGACATCACGGTGGTGTCACCATCCAGAAATTATTCGTGCTTGAACTACAAATTGAAAGAAAATTGCATGAAATTTGTCGTGAACACCAAAAAACGGTGTGAAAAACATCGACACACCGGTATTTTTATTCAATTGTCAACCCAACTTTTATTAGTCATTTAAATTTATTGACGGTATTAGCTGAAAATGGAATTTGCTTGCAGAGAAAAAACTGCTAAAAGTTGACGGTGCGTGCGGTAACGGCACTGCCGTTCGAAATGCAAATTATGCGCATTACATGTCACTCAGCAATAATTTAAAATGACGTCGTTTCGGGCGGATCATACACTTCGAAATAACAATGTGCAGCCAGAAATACGGACGAAAGAAAACCACAAATTCGAACAAACCATCCTTAAAAAGGTGGTCAACTACAGTAAATTTATGAGCACTGAAGTCATAATAATTTATGCGAATTTTTGATACTATCACAATTCGTCTAATTTCAATTAATTTTCGAGTGAAACAACGATGACATTCCTCAATTTTACCATTTTAGGGTGAAAAACA